ATTTGCACCTGCTAATACTAAAGTGATATTTTCTTATACCTACTATGCCAAGAAATTACTGGAACGAAACAGTAAAATATATTCAATATTTAGGTAAATGATTAATGTATCTTAAGAAATATAAGAAAAATAGCAACTGTCTTTATTCGTGATTTAATTTATACTATAACTAACTTTCACTTAAACAACTGAATCAAGTTAACGAAAGAAGTAGTTTTAGTAGTTTTGTAAATTCACCAAACACAGCAATCGGCGTCTTTTCTTAAAGAGACTTTTTATTCACCTAGTGAAAGGCGCTCGAGTCTTCTTAAAAGCCTTGTAGATTTTATTCGTTAGCATGCCAAGTTAAATGCAGATGCTTACTGTCGAAATATTATGCGCCTCGAAGAATTAAGCCTATAATATATGCAATAATATAGATTTAATTATTTATGCAAAATATTTTCAGTAATTACACAATAAATTTTTCTAATTTATCATAAATAACTTTGCCACAAGAAAAGCAAACGGGTACACAGTCAGACATTTACATCTATCCTCGATTAAGAATCAAAACGCAAGTACTTTGTCATCCCTGAGGATTAGATGGAATGCCTCGTTTTCAGTAAAAAAAGTTTTTACTTTCATAATTCACCATACGAAAACTCTGTGAGAGCGTGGTCCTTTCCCGGTTAAGTCAACCCACTAGTGCTACACCCATAATATTGCTGCATTTTGGCAGTACCATGTACCTACACATCTTTTTAACACATTTTACTTTATGCAATTAAAGCTGTTTAGTTTATATACAAGAGGAATATGTTACTTAGAATAAACTTTTTCAATTTTTTTCTTTTATAGGATAGGGTGACAAACGAGCACACAGTCCACCTGATTGTAAGTGGCTGCTGTGACCCATAGACATCCACAACTGTCCTCAATAAATAATCAAAATGCAGATGCGTTGTCACCCATGAGGACTAAGATTGAATGCCCCTTTTCCAGTAAAAAGGGTCTCCGGTTCTCTACACTCACCATACGAAACATAGCAGTGTTAAGCTGCTATTTTACGCTGGTATTCTGTGAGAGCGTGGTCCTTCCCCGGTCGAGTCGAACCAATCGTGCTTCAAATATGCTACTAATATAGCTGCAGCATGGCTCTACCACGTACTAATACATATAATATATATTATAATATATTTTATAATATATTTGTCACATTATTGTACTCAGGTAATTAAGGATGAGTGGAATGAACGCGGTGGTTTAAACCCGACGACAACCGCATTGAGACAACAAAGGGGTGATATTTTTCGTAGACAAACATTAAACTGTCTTAAATATAAACAGTCACAGGTGATCCGCCTTCCCCATGTATATTTATGATGTGTTCGACAATCAGTCCTACACTAGGTCTCGCTTGCTGAGAGCAAATGTTTGCTATGTGTGCACTTATATGTAAATAGTCACTTATGAATAATACCCACTGGTGGGTAAAGCCACTGTTTTTTAAACAGTATAACGTATAAAATGGCCACATTCATTTTAATTAAGATTTTTATTAAAATGTATGATGTATGATGTAAATGTATGTGTTCGTTTGATTATTGTAGCAAAAAGAAAAAATGTCGTTATTCATTTTTAATCTTTTATATTAAATGTATTAGGCCTATTTATCTCTTCTCAATTTTAGACTCTATCGTTATTCATTTCTCCTTATTAATGTGATGATGATATCCTATTCAATATAACTTTAGTTTCATAATACACGTGTATGTTTATTATTAAAAAAAGTAATGTTACAGCCTATATACATCCCACAAGTAGGCAGAAGCCTCTTCAAATTTATGAGAGGGTTTTATCGACCTCAGAAATGAGAGGAGAAAAATGTCCACCACATTACCCCATTGCGTGTTGTCGAACCTACAACTTACTTGTCTTTGAAATATTATTTTTTATTATTCAGCCATGTAGGTTTCCACACAATGTTTTCTGTCAACACCGTGCACGTGGTAAATCAGCACTTAAAATACTCTGTTATATTATGAGGAAGGCTTAGTAGTGAGAGCCCTTATATTCCCACTGCTGGGCACAAACCGCGCTGCTGCAATGCGTATTTGCGGATTTCAAATTACTTGGAAATAATTTAAATTAGCACAACAGAATAAATAATAGTTATTAGCATTTAAATTACAATAAACAATGTCATTGCTGCCGGCGGGGATGTTAGGTTGATCTGATCACAGGACGAGACTGTGGAATTTCCGGCGGGTGCTTAACCTCTGAACTACCACGGCTCTTATATATATACGATAATATCAAATAGTTAATTTACATGCACTAATATAATGCGAAAGAGAAGGAAGGCAGTCTACGTAAGTAATATTAGATGAGTTCGCTTGAACAAAGTGAACGGTCGGCCTCATAAAAAACTGCCCTTAAACTATTTGTTGTGGTTTCCACAAATACAAAAAATAGAACATCAGAACCAGTCAGCATTGGTCGGTGCTTTTCGACTCCTGGCCTTGTACAAAAAACGATGTGTTAAGGAATGTAAAGAGCCATTTAATTATCCTAATATATTGTTATGGTCGCGCAGGGAGGCGGTTATAAATTAGCCGAGTGGCCGTGCTCCGTCAAGGTGGCGAATGATGCGTCGAGATCCGGTCGTCAGCCATTTACTTGACTACTTCTATTTACATAATTTGATCTGTTCACGTTATACAGATATGTTTACATCTTACGCTAATGAATCGATCGCACAGAGTAAGCTCCTAATTCAGTAACATGAGAATCTCGCGTGAACTGGGAAAGCTCGCCGAGCTCGGCTCATGCGTTCTCACGTTACTGCACCCGCTGCTTCAGTGCGATGATCCTTAAAGTTTTTATTCCATTTTTGCCTCAATTCCATCGGGCGGCCTTCATTATGCGTCCGCAAGTGCCTCGGTCGCCACCGGTTCAGGTAGCCTGGCGTTTCACTTCAAAACTTGACCTTAGGTATTCGATACGCTCGTTAGGTTTTTTTTGTTAATCAATATATGTAGTTGAATATGAGATTTTGATGTGGTGTAATTTGATAATATGCGAAAATAAATTTTTATTAATCGACTTTGTGATAAAAACTTGTTTAATGTTTCGCTGCTCATTGGGTTTAGTTGCATTCCGCGTCGGCGATAATAGTGATTTTAGGATACGTGGGTACAGTAAGGCGGACTGTAAGAGGTGTCAGGGGCAGGGCGTCCCGCTGCGTCAGGGCATTGTGATCGACAGCTTGTTTACTAAAAATATGCATAATGAATTTATAATGGCCCGCCGGGCCTGTCGCATTGCTTCTTCTTACTAGATCGAAGCTCGCTTATGTGTTTCCAATTCTTAACTAAGTAGATACTTAGTTACAGTCACTATGAGTCAGGCATTTATTTATAAAATGTAATTTTTTAAACTTTACATTATTTTCTTAGCAAAATGCTAAAGCATTTTTATGACTGCACATATGTTAATTATTATTGTTTCTATTGACACGTTAATCATAAAAAATGTGAAAGCAACAATTTCGATGCTGATGCGGTGTGAGAGCCTAATTGCGCCACTGACTTATTCCCACGTTAAAGTGCACGAAGTGTTTGAGTATACATTTAGCATTCGATTGTTTTAGTGCGGGCTGAGATGACCGCGGGGAAGCAAACATTGAGCATCGCTCGCCTCTCGCACCGCTCTACGCCCCTTGCCTTCGCCTACCTGTCATTTCAGCAGACATCTCATAGTCAAATTGAATTTATTCCTTTACGATTTAAAGACAATGTACCCTATAAAAGTACATATTTCAAATGTTTACTTAATTTGGTCAAAACATTTTTTTGCTAACGATTCAATTGCTATGACAACATAATATTTATAGACGTCATTTTGAACATCGACGTTTACTTAACATGTGGATCTGTTTCCTTTACTATTCTAAAATGTTTGCAACGGCTAAGATTATTTCTTACAACTCTTTATCAGCTTAGAACATTCGTAGAAATAATTATATACGGTGCTTCAAGATATTTCTTACATTGAATACGAGCAAATGGACAAGTTGCCCAAGCGGGACGCCCATCGGTTCGATTCGTTACGTCAATCTCACAATTTTTTCACTAAGAAATCTGCATAGAGTGAGTTGACATCGCGGTACAAAGCTGGCATGTGGTGCATGGAGCATTGTCCGCATTTCTTTATAAATATTTTGACATTCCCTTTATTTGGTCCACAAAGTTATTTCACAAATGGCATCGTGTTGATCCCTTTGTGCGGCGTGTTTTAATTTGATTTATTTTTCAACGACAAAACGTTCGACGTCCTGCGCTGTTCGACGGCGGGGCGGCAGCGTTTGTCAATTTGTTAGCATGTCTATTGGTATTTTCTTTAGGACATGCAAACAAAAAGCTTCGCGTGTCTTTAGAGTGGAATTGTTTCTCGAAAGTCTATTGAAACCAAGTGGCCTACTCGTTATTTGGGCATTTAATAGGAATTGCGCTGCTAATATTAGCTGTAACGATATTGACCCACTAGCAGCTAATTCTTGTTTGAAGTGGTAATGTTATTAGCTGATTACATATTTGAATAAATATGATAATATGAACATCTTCTTACAAATTTGGGGCGCGTTCTAACACGTACGTTACTCAAATATTTTGATTAATTTTAAATATCGACATGTGAATAATTCACCTGCCTCCGACATTGGCATTCAATTTTATTCAATTCAATTCGTTGACTTTATATATGAATTTGTAGAAAAAAAACAGGTTTACCTTTGATATTTATGTTAAATACTGAGTTTTTTTTAATTACATCTAGACAAATTCATATGTTGTAGAAAACAGTGTTGACATAAATTTTTCTTACAAAAGAGTTAGGCCATACCTATATGAAATAATATATATTATAATTTACATAAATAATTCAATACAATTTTAGGATATTTTATGTTGTTATTAATAAAGTTCAATAATTTAACACTATAATTTTTAAATCCACAGCGATGCAAAGAAAAGCTAAACACGCTGGCGATCAGCGTGATGAACCAATGGCCGGGCGTTCGCTTACGAGTGATCGAGGGCTGGGACGAGGAGAACTCGCATCTAGAACATTCGCTGCACTATGAGGGTCGCGCGGTGGATCTTACCACCAGCGATAGGGATCGCAGCAAGTACGGCATGCTGGCGAGGCTAGCTGTCGAGGCCGGCTTCGATTGGGTGTACTATGAGAGTCGCTCTTATATACACTGCTCTGTTAAAACAGGTAGGTGTATTAACTTGCTACATCTGTTATTTATAGGTTTATTTGTTTGCATTTTTGATATTTTCTTTTTTAAATTCCATATAGAAAAACATGACTGATGTCTGAACTAATGAATTTATAATTCTTATATATTTGTTAAGCATTTAATGTCGAACAATATATTGATGCTTAAACAAAACATGGTGGATATTTTCACCAATATTATCATAACCGTTGTAATTGCGTGAGTGTACGTAACAAGTATCCGCTTCGGTTTAGGTTACCTTTGCCATTGTTGCCATTCTGTGTAATAGCTGACAATGAAAAAGAAATTGTGAACCTGCATGAACCTGCATGTCTGAGAAATTTTCAATAGTTCAATACATAACTGCAGTAAGAATTCTGTAAGAAGAGTAGATACTGATACTATATAATGAACAGAATGTTTATTGGAATCATATCTTTTTTCAATAAAACTACTACAACAACATCGTTTACACCGAAAGTCAATTACAAAGTATTTTAACGCCATTTTTATCATTAAAGTTAATGCAATTTAGTGATAAAACATATATTATTAAACCATTACTATACAATGTTGATGTTAATGCATTTACATTATCACTAAATCACTATACTATAGACAAAAATGCATGTAGACGTTCAATTCTTAATATTTTCCCCTTGTACACAAATAACCAGTAATGTTGACCCTACATCTGCGTTTAAATCTTTAGCACGGCGCATGTGCTTTACCGGCTACTTAGCTTTTACTTCACGTTGAATGTACTTATAATTTGTTTGATAAGTAAATTTTAATGGTTTTTTAAAGAGTGATAAAAAGAGATAGTAATGATTTCAGTGATTTGTAGATTAAAACACTATTTAACGCCTTATATTTTGTGATAAATCCAAAAGTGAAAAAGTGTTTGACGCTTTATGTTTTGAAACTGAACTTTATCGACCCGTAAATGTAATATGCTTATTATTCTGGTCTTATTAGCTTTATTTAAAATTATGAATGACGTATTCATTGCTCTTTTCGGTACATAAATACATACATATCTCAAGTAAGTAAGTAGTTATTAAGAAAAAACATTAGATATTGATAATGAGTTCATATTTTTATAGCACACTTTTTTGATTTCGATATATAATCGACCGTCTACGGGACGGGCCAAATATATGGTTAAGAGTTACAAGAATGCACCATGGACAGTTTCCCGCGCCCGCGCTCCGGCGGTGTCGATCAAACGGACGAACAAGCCGATTGTTAACATCTCTCTCTCTCTCTCTTTCGTCCGCACTATAAAGTCCACTATCTCCCTCGCGCATGGCCACATCGCAGCCAATCCCCCACTTCTATAATTACACCGGTGATTCAATGGCTTATAGTTATGTATAGAGTATAACGTTGAGAGAAAAGAGCCTCTATATATATGTACACGGTTAGACTTTACGATGGCATTCTGACGCGCATAGTTCCAATTAACTTACCTGATTACCAATCGGCGATGAAAGCGAAACCTCGTTGTACGCGTGGAACTATGCGGTAGAAGTTTTGAAGATGAAGCCGTTTATCGCATAAATTTAATACATCATGAATGAGAGTAGGAATTTAGTGAATTATCAGTAAAACTTAATTAAAAGTTCAAGGAGTGCCCGTAGTTATTTTACGATAAATTTCTAGAATACAATGAACGTTTATGTAACAATTAAAAGTAGCATAAAGAACATGAAACATAAAAAATTGCCTTTACCTTTTATTTAGTTACCATTAAGGTTTTGTGAAACCAATAAAAAGATAGATAATTAAATAGCTATCACTCCTTATATCATGGTCAAATCGATGGGAATTTTAACGTTTTAACGTTTCGAGTAAAACATGGTGAAGGGGCTTTTAAATGGACATCTATCATTGAAAACAAGAAGAAAAAAGTCCGTCATTGTTTCAAAGCTCGGCCACTGATAGTCCCTCGGATCGGTCGCAGTCAATTTGTTTCGATGTTTATTCATTTATTCCGACGTTTTGTTCGAATCGGGGACTTTTTAGTATTAATTTGGAATTTATAAATAATTAATGTGCTTTGTGTGAGTAAGTGTGTAGCATGCGAGGCTCTCAGTACAGAGGGTCAAGGACACGGGGCGCACGAGTTTACCTCGCTTATTGTGTACTCTCTTGAATGTTTTGAATCTATTAAAACTCTCATAGATACTATAGTAATTCATTCAACGTAGTATTCGACACGTCTTAAATGTTTTACATATTTCAGTGTAAAATATAGATTTTGGTGGTAACGTGAGAAAACCTGTTACACCATTTTCTTCCATGGGTGTTGTAAGATGCGACCGTGGGAATTTATTGTGGCATTAAAGTGATAAGCGAACTATTTGTCCTCTCAGTGGTATGTGGACACTGCGGCTTAAAAGTACTTGCAACCAACTGAAAAACAAAGAAGGTAACAGGTGCGATATCTTTCAAATGGAGACATTTTAGTGGATGCACTGCCGCTTGGTGATATGTGAAATAAATTGATAAAAGAACACTTCTTACACAGGCGGGCTAATAAGCAGAAAACAAGCAAGGTACTACATTGTTAAATTGGTAATTAATATTTATTTGGATGTAAAAACTCGGACCAATAGCAGGGAGCGACGCAAAAGTGCGAGAAATCTAGTACATAATCGCTTATCTGCCCGCCAAATGATTGTTTATGGTTTAATGAAAATAAACTAAAAAAAAAAATTACTGCCACTACTCGACAATATTAGCAATAAAGAAACTGTTGAATAAAGAAACTATTTATTTTTTTCTTTATAAGCCAGTAAAAGTCCACTGAACGTGGGACTCTTCCATTGCAGAAAATATTTTATATGGTTATCACACTCGGCACGTGGATAGGCAATCGTAGTACTAAAATTCACCTATTATACCACAATTAAACTGCTATCTATAAAGTTTGATAAAATAAATAATAACTCTATACTTCACAGACAATCTATAAAATTCAATTTTATAAATAATTACGAAAATGTTTTAAAAACTAAACCATACGTACATAAACACTTAATCTCGGTACCCTATTAAAGTCATGTGTCAGACTACAGAGCGTTTGCCTCTAAAGATAAGATTCTGTAACCATTGGTGTTGGCATGACGTGGCCCCTGATATTAAATTAAAGTATCGCACTCGATCATCGCAGCGCCAATAATATGGCGAGCTTTTTATACCGGATAAAATTAATTGATTTTCATTGGTCGACCTTGATTGTTTCGTTTTGCAATATGCATACGCGAATTAATAGAGAGCACGACGGGATTTTTCAAAGGCAAAGTATCATGCAATTAAAAAAAAGAGAAATATTTGTGAATACTTAATTCGGTGCTTGTATTTTAAATGTTGTTCCAATATTTAGGTTTGTTCGACTTGTCAGTTTTATTCGCATATCGAATGCGGCAGCTCGTCAGTTCTAAAGACATCAACGCGCTCCTTCTTGTAACTGAATTTATAGTTTTCTTTTATAATAGAATAGAGAATTGTTCTCACTGTCGTAAGAAAAGAAAAAAGTAATTTTTTTGAATGTTGAATAAGAATCTTATTAAGACTACAACTGTATAAAAACCAGATGTTAGTATTACCGTGCAATTCAAATAATGAACGGAAACGACCGTAAAAACCTTAAGTTAGCGGTTGTCTATGTAGTTAATTAAACATTAAAAATGTAATTTCTGGAACACGAACAATGTGACAGGCAGTTGAGGTAGTTTTACATGGAGGAGTGCTGATAAATGGGGCGTGACGGACGACGTATGTGCCTCATATCACGGTCACGAGGTGCTAGGCAATCTTTGCCTTGGAAATGTAAAATTTAATGTTAATTTACGATAAACATAATTTTAAACATTTATTCATTTCAGTTTATTAAAATTTCACAGCTGATCTTAGACCTTTCCCTTAGATTTCCATATTTGTATATATCCTCAAAATTGCCATATTTGCTAGGCTTGCAGGCGAGTTGGCGACCGCAGCTTTTTATTATTGAGTTTTTTAGGAAGATCCTGCTGCCTTTCATTTGTAATGTCAATTTTTCTCTGTCGCGTCTTGCGACACCCAAGGAATGACACGGAGCAGTGAAGCCTCTTACGCCGCCACTTACTTGGCAATATTATAAGAACAAATATTTACTAAATATTTATTGGTGTAATTTTATGGGCGTATAGACATATCTACAAAATATAATAATTTTGGTCTCTTGTTTTGTATATCGGAAATTCTAACGAATAGTTTTATTATTTTATAATCAATGAGCAACACATTAATTGTCAATAAATAAAATATTGAATAAAATTTGCATCCGTCGTCAACAAAAAGCTCCTACCAGAAATAGTCCAAGATTTATATTTAAATTATGCGTCATTAAGTTTATTAGCAAAATAATAAATTAATAAAGCTGTACGATAGGTACAGCTTTAACAAATTTTAGTAGTGTAGTTTTTAGCAAATTAAGAAACTATAAGAACATATATATATATACTATATAGACTACTTATAAATTTAATAAGATCTCGTTCACAAGTTTATAGTCTGTAATCGTAGGTATGGTTTTCTGCTTTGACGCTAAATTTTTATTAAATTTATTTCTGTATTACCGGTCTTACAACTTACCGGTTGCATATTTTTGAATTTCGGAACTGATATTTAACATACTCTGTTGGAGCTATGAAGGTTATTAAAAGATATCACTGATTAAAAAAAACTAGAGGAGGCAGTGAACACAGTCCGGACGAGCGCGCCCGGGGCATGCGTGCGAAAGCCTGTGTCGTCGCAATGCGCTGACATTCGACACGCCACATCCCGGAAGGCTGTGGTTTCACTCCCGCACCGTTCTCACAAAATCACCCTTTTTCACATTTATACCGAATGACTTATCAGGGTTTATAATCCCATGAATGTGTGGCATTTTAACGTCTTGTTTGTTGAAGATGTACTGAATGGCTTATCTTTCCACGGAAAACTACTA